CAAAAGAGCGAGTGGCCAAACGCAGAAACAATCCTTTTTTTTTCTCTCTCTTTTCTTGTCGCTATCGTGGAGAGGAGAAACTCAACGTCCACCCTTTCCCGTTTCTCCCCGCGCCCTTTCTAATCGCCGCACCCGTTTCTCCCGGAGTACGAAAACGACGGTGACGAAAACACAAAAACAAGCGTGGTTCGCGGAGCGGCCGCTCATGACCCAAGCGCTCGCTGTCTAGGTCCGCCCTTTCTGCTCTGCGCTACCATATTGGTCACCGTTCGGCACGCTCCTCCTCTCCTTTTTCCTGCGGCCGCGCTCCCTATGGCTCCGTCATCGATGTGCCAGGCTTTCTCCGTATAGAGGAGGCTATAACAGAACATAGTGTGCAGGAAGAGGAAGAAAAAACAGGCTCGCATCAAGACGAACAAAAGCCACAACATTTCAAGTGCTTTGAACAGAACAAAGAAAAGCCTGGCCGGTGTGCAGCAGCAAGTGGCCCAAATGGAGGCCCAGAATGGAGCCCTAAGTGAGGCTGCGGTCGAAGCAAAAATCAAACGCCTTCCCCAAAAGCAGCAGCTTGCTGTTAGGTCACCTTTTTGGTGATGTTCAACGGAGGTCTCTCAGGGGAATGACATATGATGAGAACGGGATTGTTGATTCTGTTATGATGGCGAATGCGAAGCCCTAAATTGTATCAGCACCTCCGGAGAGAAACCATCTTTGTTCTGCCAGGACGAAGACGCCTGCAGATTTAGCTGCAAGGGTTTAAAGGTGACTTTGGACTGATCCCGAATATCGTTTCTGCTTTAAAAAAGCAGGCAAAGGGCATTGACACCTTTGGCCACCACGGTGGTCTGCTGGTTGATGAAATCAAGCTTCCCGAGCAGCTCAACGTTAAGTCTGTAGGTAAGTACATATTATGTTCATAAAATTTGTGTGAGCTTGCACTGCACGTAAAAGGTTATCTTTGCTCAGTTCGAAGCACCCACGACAAGGGGTGCTTTGATGTCTGTCTTCTTCGTGCTCCTGAAGTGCTTGCTCGTTCCTTTTTTCTACAGGCGTCATAGAAGGCTTCGTCGACCTTGGGGAACACATCACAGATGACCAAAAGAGTGTCCTGGCCGATCATGGAATGGTTGTGATGTTCCAACCTTTCACAGGTAATGACTATCATTGCCAACTGTAATATCAAATTAGCGAATTTTGAAGACTCGTCATGTCTGCTGTGCGTGTATCTTCTTTCATGCCTGTCTTTTGCGCCTCTATCTTTTTGAAGTAAATCAAACCAACTTGTCGAAATTAAGCTGTTGCTAATTTTTATACATTTTACTCTCTCATGAAGCTGGACACAAATCCTGGGCGTGTTTGCCTCAAAAGGGAATATGAAGGCTCCGACACTTGCTAAAATCATTGTTGAGGCCAGTGTTCTTGCGGAACAGGCAGGCCTGGGCGTCGACGCAGTGACATGTGATAGGGCCACCTGGAATCGAAGCATTTGACGTATTTTTTTTGCATACAAGGTAAGTGAATCACTCTAAATAAGAACAGAAAAAATTACGTCAATATTTCCGCGTAGGTATGCTGCGAATTTCCTTGTGGTAGAATGGTGCATGGCTTGATTGCACAGTTTATTATGGGCTGTGGGGATTACGTCAAGATTCTCATAGAGGTATACCCTTTAAACTGGTTGCTAATGAATAAGTACTTAATGCACGCATGCAAAAAATGCCTGACTGCAGTGAAGCAAATGCATCAGCACATTTTTGCCTAAGGTGCTATGTTCCACAATGCTTTGCCTGTGCATGCGATGGGCACTGAAACGTTTTTTTTTAATTATTTTGGACGAAAGGAATGATGGTAAGCTGCAATATTTTCTCCACAGGCTCTGCTCGTCGGATAAGAAACAGCACAAGGCACCTATACTTCGTTTCAGCTTCGGTCCAGACGCAGCCGATGCTACAAGCGCGAGCATGTGGTCCAGAACAGTGGTTGCACTGCACGAGCGCGCGTGCTTGGCAGGGATGCTGAAAGCCCGGAGCTCGCGCTTGTAGCTTTGGCTGCGTCTGGACCGAAGCTGAAACGAAGTATAGTCGACTCACGAAAGCAACTCTATATTTTTTATTTTTTTTACTTTCCTCGTTTAATTAAAAATATGAGGAATGGATTGGTGAGCAAGGGCTATATGACACCATCTGGACATGTTCACCGTAGCATATTTGAAGTCGCATGGAAGGTAGATTTTGAACATGTAACGCTCGAAGCCATTCCAAGCATTACGCAAGCCCATATAAAACCAATTTTTTTTTTTGCAAAAATGAAAGTTGACCTTGCATTGCAACTTTTTGGGGACCAGGTTATCCAAGGAGTTTTCCACCATAAGGCGAAGATAAACTTCGTGTACAGAACAGTGCAACCAACCGAAGAGGTTTTGCTGCGATTCAACCGGCTCATCAGTGTAATTACTTCAAGAACAAGCGACACTGCTTTAAGACCCAAAAGTGGTAACCAACAGTTTTTGGAGGAATCCTTCAATCACCTGGACACATGCGAAGAATACACTAAGACGATCGGACGTGGATTTCTTTCTGAAAGTTCAGCTGCTGGATTAAGGGTAACAATAAAAAATTTTCAGTCTTTCCATTCTGGTGAAGAAGGAAGAACAGCGGAGCTGTAGCTTCGGTTCTCGGCGGATGCTTTCCAGGCGAGCGATCTGCTCTTCTTTCCCAAGGGAATCTGAAGCGCTCGACGCACGCGGCGGTTGCGGACCTATTCGCGCTGCTGCGTACGTCGCCGCTCCTTCCGCACCCGGTCTTCTTTCCGCGAAAAAACGGCACGCGGCCGACCCATTGTGAGTCCAAACCGAAACTGATAAGAGCGTAGGAAACAGCGCGCCAAACAGACGAGGGCGAAGAAGAAACACGTGACGTGCACTGCGCTCGTCACGTGTGTTTCTTCGTCCTCGTCTGTATTTTGCGCTGTTTCCTACGACAAATATACACCAACTCACCCAACTATCCATCCTTCTATGATAGCTGGAAAAGTTGCCGCCATCAATGAGCGACGGCGGCAACCAGACTAGTTGCCTGGTTGCCGCCGTCGCTTATAGTTGGCGGTAGATGTCGAGAGGTTCATGTAGGCTTGTGTCGACATTTTTTTGGTACTTGACACGATCCTGGGGCACCTAGCCCTTAACAGCTCTCTGTAAAAGTACGCTCGACTTGTTGACTTATTTAAGCACAACAGAATGCTTTAAGTACTTGCCGATATGCCGTTGAAGTCAAAACAAAGTAGCAAACTTCTTCGGCAAAATCAGGCAGTCGGCAGGCTGCAACGATCACCTAAACGTTTCGCAATTTTGGGTGACTGTAAATCTAATGGCGTTATACAACCTAGCCAAATCGCCGAGGGGAGGAAACTGTGCATAAGACGCAGTAAAAGCATTGCTGAGCTTGCTTCTTTGAAAAGCACGGCACCCAAAAATCTCTTCGTCTCAATAGATGACCTGCTTGAGAAAGAAAGGGTTGGCGAGCTTGAGGAAATCATTGATTATGCTCTGGCTGAAAGTGACCACACCAGCTACACAAAAAAGAGGAGCCACAGTGCCTAGAAATATTACGTTGCTGGCTATGTTGTCAGAAAGACTGTGGCCAAGAATTGTTGCCCTAGTTGTGCGGCTTGTCTGTGTACAACACAAAACTAGGCAACAATGGATGTCAACTGCTAGTTCACGGCACATTTTGACAAAGGTGGTCTTGTGTAACCAAGCCATGCCCTCTCAAGAGCAACATTAAGCGTGGAGGATGCAGTTATTTCTTTTTTTTCAGTAAGCATGCCTTACACGGAGAGAGCCTGGCTGACTTGAGCAGGGAGCTCTGTTCAGTCGACTTGCCAAAACTTGGTTTCCCAGAGTATGCGGCAGTAACCAGACTTTCAGTTGTGAAGTTTTATGTTTTCTTAAAAATTTGTGTTTATGTCAAAGGGCTGAACAAGGACAGACAGGCACAAAGGCAACAAAACAATTGTTGAAGTTTCGACACTGCAACTAGGTTGCTAACGTCAATGATGTGTTTCTTTTCTTGTGTATTGCTTGAACGGTGCAGCTGGACACACAATATTAACGGTTTGTATGGAGCATTGCCTTTGTTGCCACTGTTACGTTTCTCCGGGAGAATCGACGAATCCGGAGACCGACGTTTATTTGGCAGCGTTTATTGTTCGGCAGCCGGAACCAAAAGAGCACAAAGCTTGCCGGCGATGCCGCTTATATCGGCAGCAAGCACCAGAGGTACGCCCCCCTGACTCAGCAGTTCTGCTGCGGCCGCGACAGCGATAAGCGATAACATCGCATCGTAACAACTCCTCCCCCTTTTAGGGCGAAACCGCATAAAACAATTTTCCCGCCACTCTCCAGGTTTCAAGCACGTCCTTGGGAATGTTCGACAGACAAACGAACGGCGTAATCCTAGTGCTGCTTGCGCAGAACTTCACAGTCGTTGCTCGAAGAAACCTTCACAGCGTATACAGGTTCAGCTTGCGCTGATCCGAAGGGCGGGAAGTCCTGGAGACGCAGGGCCCAACACCGTCTGCGAAACTGGCCGGAAGCGTCGACGCGCGGCCCAACACCGTCACTGCAGTTTTCAGTGTCCTTGACTGGTCGGAAGCGTCGACTGTGCGGTCCGAGAGGAGCAGGAAGGAGCGGTGATGGCGATCCTTGCGACCATGAGCCAAAGTCGCCAGCGGCCCAGGAGTAGCAGCGGCTGTCACGTGCCGTCGGTGCCAGGACGTCGGGATGACAACAGAGGTCCGTCGTGCTTCTGAGGGGAATGAGAAGGGCCAACAACAACCAAGCACCACAGAAACTGCGGAGGCACCCGAAACGCCCTTTCCACTCACCGAGAGCACGAATTATTCAAAAGAAATAGCTTACAAAATATGCCCCAAACGCAGCCAGAATTTTTTGAAAATATCGTTCCCGATCTTTCGGGAATAGACAGCTAATGAATGAAATTGATTGAATGGAACTATTTACAAATGTGCAGATGAGACAAAAGAAACAGAAAATCGCACTGTGCGCCGGTTAGAGCGCTCGGCTCAGACAATCTGCGTTCGCATGAAGCTTTCCTTTTTTATGTCGAACCAAGAAAGAATATTCCTGGAGGGTCAAGCTCCAGCGTAACAAGCGACCGTTTTTGGGGGACAGCTGCTGAAGCCATGTGAGCGGTCTATGATCTGTAATTAAAATAAACTCCGAACCATAGAGATAGCAGCGAAGCTTTTCTACAGCCCATACGAGACAAGCGCATTCTTTTTCGATGGTACTGTAGGCTTGCTCCCTTGAAGTTAGCTTCCTGCTGGCAAACAAAACGGGGTGCTCTTCCCCTTCATTTTCTTGGCTTAGAACGACGCCGAGTCCTTTTTCGCTGGCGTCGCACTGCACTAAGAAGGGTCTTGTGTAGTCAGGGCTGACTAACACGGGCTGAGTCGCCAAGGCTAACTTAAGAGCCTCAAACGCCTCTATCTTGCGATCGTCCCACTTGATCTTAGTGGGCTCAGTTTTCTTGAGCGCATCCGTCAGGGGACTCGCCTTTTCAGAGAACTGGGGAATGTACTGGTGGTAGTAATTCACCAGTCCGATAAAGGACATCAAATCTTTTTTTGTTTGTGGCAAGGGAAACTCTTTAATGGCCTGAACCTTGAGTTCTTGTGGACGTCTCATTCCTTGACCGACTACGTGTCCGAGATACGATACTTCGCCTCGGCCAAACTTACACTTTTTCGCCTTGACTGTAAGTCCTGCGTCTTGCAGGCGCGAGAACACCTGTTCTAGGTGCTGAACGTGCTCTCTCCACGTGTCCGAAAATATAGCGACGTCGTCTAGGTACGGTAACGCAAAAGACTCGGTTCCGACCAGTACCAGATTCATCAGTCTCGAAAACGCATAGGGTGCGTTTTTCAGTCCAAAGCTCAGGACAAGCGGCTTAAAAACACCAAACGGGGTCATGAAGGCGGCAAGGTTACTGGCGTTCGCGGTAAGTGGCACTTGCCAGTAACCTCTAACGAGGTCGATGGTTGAGATGAACTTGGCTTTGCTTACTTTCTCAAGGCAAGTTTCGATATTAGGGATTGGGTAGACTTTTGTTACCGTTACCGCGTTTAACTTTCGGTAGTCCACACAGGGACGAGGTTCTTTTCCTGGAGTCTCTACCAGAATCATAGGAGACACGAAGTCGCTCTCGCACCGCTCAATCAACCCTAGCTCTAGCATTTGATCTACGGACTCCTTTAATAGCTTTTCTTGGCGGGGGGAAAAGCGATAGGCCTTACACTGAATATTCGACCGAGTCCTCACTTCGATGTCATGTTCGACTAGACTCGTTCTTCCGGGAATAGTTGAAAACAATTTTTGGTATTTGCCAATTAATGCCGTAAGATCCGAAAACTGGTTTTGGGTGAGCGTCTTATCGACTGCGGCCTCTACGACTTCGGCGATTGTCAGGATCCCGTCGGTTTTTCCCAGCTCAGGAATTCGTGTAGGAACTTCCTCTGGTTGGTTTAGTGCAATGCTGACTACTTGCACCCTTTCCACGTACGGCTTCATAAGGTTGCAATGGTATATGCGGACCTCTTTTCTGCGACCTGGCAGTTTTACCACGTAATTTGTCTCTGATAGCCTCTGCTGGACCGTTGCTGGTCCTTCCCATTGCAATTCCAACTTATGAGCCTTAGAAGACCTCAAAAGTAGGACTTTGTCACCCACCTTAAACGTTCGGAGGCGGCTGTTTTTGTCATAGTAGGTTTTACCTCGCGACTGCGCTTTTCCCAGGTTAGCCTCAACTAGCTCACGCGTTTTGTGGAGACGGTTTAGTAAGGAAAGCACATACTCCACCACTGTTGGGTTCTCGGCTTCACCCTCCCAGCCCTCGCGCAGCAACCGCAAAGGTGAACGCAAATTGCGTCCATAGACCAGTTCCGCTGGCGTGAAACCAGTTGACTCGTGAGCAACGGTTCGCAACGCGAAAAGCATAGCGGGCAATGCCAAGTCCCACTCTTTTTTCTGTTCGTGACAAAGGGCCCTGAGAATGCGCTTCATTACCGAGTGCGCTCTCTCTACGCTGTTACTTTGCGGGTGGCTTACAGAACTGTGAACAATCTTAATGCCACACCTCTCGAAAAAGCTGGTTGTTAGAGCACTGGTAAAAACACTACCCAGATCACATTGAATTTCACTAGGAAACCCGATCCGAGAAAAGACCGAGAGCAAGTTATCTACTACTTCGACCGATGTCTGCTCTTTCATTGGAACGGCTTCTGGGAACTTGCTGGCTGGGCATAATATCGTTAGAAGGTACCTAAAACCCGTCTTAGTTGTAGGTAGGGGTCCTACGACGTCTATCACTAGCCTTTTGAAAGGTTCCGTGATTATGGGCACTAGTGTCAGAGGCGCCTTTCGGCGCTCGTTTGGTCGTCCTGTTCTTTGGCAGGTGTCGCAAGAACGGACGAATTGCTCAGCCTCCTTAAAGCAGCCCGGCCAATAATATTCTGCCAAAAGCCTGCACTTGGTCTTTGTGATTCCTAGGTGTCCCGACCACCCTTCTCCGTGAGCAAGCTCGAGTAATGCAATTCTATACTTGGATGGAACGACAATCTGATCTACCTCGTTCCCCGATTTGTCCTTGAAACTACGGTAAAGAATGCCGTTGCTCATAAAGAAGGAGATGTTCGGCTTGATTTCTTTTCCCACGCTATCACGACACTTTGAAAGACTCGGGTCGGATGACTGTTCGGCGATAAGCGTAAGCTTATCTACACCGGCTAGCGCACGAAAATTGCTGCTCTCCGGCGAAACCAGCGTGGTCATGTCAGCTCCTTCGTTCGGCTCTTTATCGGGCCCGCTGCTGGTTTTACCAGTCGACGCGCGCGCTTCCGTCTGAAGTGTTTCCGGCACTGCACTAGTTGTCATTGAGCGCGTGACGATTAGAACAGGATTCATGTCAAGCGGTATACCCGACTCGCTCAATTGCCTTGCAGTTCTGTTTGACAGTATGTACGGACAGTTTGGAAGCACTCCGTCAGAAACAGCTGCTTCCGTTTCCACTACTCCGAAAGGTCCGTTTAGTTTTACCTTAGCGAGGGGCAGACTAACTGCCCGATTTTCCAAGGCCTGACGGATCCACACACAGTCGCCTGTAAAATGTTCTTGCTCCACTAGCGAAGAGTGTACCAGATCATACGTGGCGCCGGTATCTCGTAAACCTTTGCAGAATTTACCATTTACTTTCATGTCGTACAGATACGGCCTGAGTAAGTCCTCCGCTTCTCCCAGACACAAGTTAACGGGAGCAACTTTAGGGACGCGGCAACCAGAAGCGACATGACCAGGCTGTTTACACCTGTAGCACACTATTGGTTTACGCTCCTCGAACGCCTTCATTTTACGTTTGTTTTCGTCTGAATCAGACACTCCCTTTGTCGGTACTTCACTCTCTTTGCCCTTTTCGGCGCCTTTCTTCACGAACGTGCGAGGTCCGCATCGTTCGTAGAAACGGTTTGAGCTACGGTTTTCTTCAACAACTTTCTTCCCGTGCCTAGAGCAGTACTCATCCGCGTAATCTGCAGCTTTTTGCACCGTTTCTACTTCCGGTCTATCCTGAATCCACTCCTTTAGACCTGTCGGAATACAGGAGAGAAACTGCTCTAGTGCTATCTGCTCCAGCACCTTTTCACGATCCTCGTAAGAGTTGACACCACGGAGCCAACTTTCCAGAAAGCCTTTAAGCTTATAAGCGAACTCCGCGTAACTTTCCTCCGGTCCTTTCCTTGTCTCTCGAAATTTCTGTCGAAAAGCTTCAGGCGACAACCTGAACTTCCTAAGCAGGCATGACTTTACGGACGCGTAGTCATCGGCTGCTGTAGGATCTAGTCGGGCCAAAACGTCGGCCACCTCCGCTGGCAGTAAACTCAAGAGCCTTTGAGGCCAGCTCGACTCTACAAGACCCATCTTAACGCAAACCCGTTCGAAATTTACTAAATAGAGACCCATGTCTCCGCCGACGCGAAAAGGTTGCAAAAGGGCTCGCATGTCAAACTTTTTCGAGCTGTTATCCACCACAATGGCCTCACCAGCGTCAAAGTTACGTTGAAGCATTTCTAGCTCAAGTTTTTCTCGAGCAACCCGAAGCCCTTCTTGAGCCGCGTGAAGTTCCGCTTCCCTTTGTCTCTTCTGCACCTCGCTCCAACACTCGGAAATTTCGTCGGCGCCCGCGCCACAATCTTCAATGGCCTTGATAATCTCGGGCTTTCTCATGGCCTTGACCACTTTAACACCCAGCTCTTCCGCTAAGAGCATTAAATCGGGCTTCACAATCGCCGCGAGATTTATCGGATCCATGTTCAGAAATTTCCAAAAAAGTTTGGCTACTTTTGCCCAGCGCCCGTATCAACCGTTTGGCGACACCACAGAACTAACTGCCTTAAACACTTAAGCTGCTCGGTGAACGGAAAGGAAGCCTCAGGCACTCACCGACAGCACCCATGGAACCCGGCGTCGTCGATCCATCCCACCGCTGCCACCAGCTGTTACGTTTCTCCGGGAGAATCGACGAATCCGGAGACCGACGTTTATTTGGCAGCGTTTATTGTTCGGCAGCCGGAACCAAAAGAGCACAAAGCTTGCCGGCGATGCCGCTTATATCGGCAGCAAGCACCAGAGGTACGCCCCCCTGACTCAGCAGTTCTGCTGCGGCCGCGACAGCGATAAGCGATAACATCGCATCGTAACACCACAGTATGCATGGCATGTTTGAAACGTTTCTTTTTTTAAGAAAGAAATGTCTTTGAAAATGGCTGTGGAATCTGTGCTGTTGTAGGTGCGTAAAAGCCGCTGTGGCTACCAAATAAAATAAGTGAACTGTGAATCCTATTCAGACTGCCCTTGTTCATCATCACATGCAATCAACCAAGGCAGATGCTATGTTTGGAAGGAGCAGAAGCGTCAATGCATTATTTTACATATACGCGAAGGTATTAACCGTCGACTGACTGATACGCCAAATTGCAGTAGGCACGGTTAACTGCAGAAGCGTCGGCTTTACCTGTTCAAGAGTGTGATGCAGTGAGGCACATACGTTTGGTCATAACAAAACTAATAGTATGCAGAGCTGATTTAATCACTTTTTTAAGAAATATGAATGAGCCAGTGCCACGCGGCCACTTCCAATCGACATCTACCATTTCAGCCTCAAATATCTTAATCGCGCGTAAGCATCGTCGCTGCCACGTGGTTTAACCACCGGGAACAGCTGGGTGGGCTAACTCACCGTGACGGTGCATACAAGAGCCAACGATCGCGATTCGCTATTTATAGTGAAATGAACCCGGATCGACTAAAATATCGGTCCGTAGTTTTCATTCAGCAGCAATTTATAGGGGCAAAGGTTTCATTTTTTAATGGATCTCTTCTAGCTGGTTCACTTCAGCGGCGTTCAACGCTTCGTCGGTCTTCTAGCGTTGTTTAAATTGACGACTTTCGGCGGTCAGTTCTGCACTAATACGTTTGTTTTTCACAAAAAAAAAAAATTCTAGACGGAAGTATTCGCGGAGCAAGGAGTAGGACAGGATTCCCAATGAACAACGCAGCAAACGGCCGTGCGCGCCTGGCCGCGAACGCGGCGCGCTGGCACCTTGGCGATTGGCAGCGCCATCGTGGTGTCGCTGTGGGAAGGCATGACCGCGGTAAGCATGCGAGCGGCCGCCCTCAGCAAACTAGCCAGTATATTCTACACAATGTAACCGATCTCATGGCGATCTCGCAACGCCGTTTCTCCCGCAGCGGCCACCTCGGAAACTGCACGTCTGCACGTATCGGTTCAGGCCGAGTCGCGAAAGGGCCGGAGGCGCCATCTCGCAGTGCCATTTCGCGGTATTAATATAAATTAACTTTCATGTTTTCACTAGTTGCTAAAGGGTGGTGCTGTTATCGTATTCAGTTCGGTCTCAGTGGACGGGAGCGGTCCGGGTTTCAAGGGCAAGTTTCCCAACTGAGTGTTTCAGTAACGTTGGCTTTCATTAGCAGCCGCAGCCGCTGGACGTAGTTTTCTGCGCTTTCCTGTATGGTGATGGCCGACGAAGAAAAAATTCACCAGTCAAACGGAGTGACGAGCCGCACAGGAGCTCAGCTCCTCCGCAATTAATGTCCGATTTGAGGGCTGTTCTGACACGCAACAAGACGAGTGGAAGAAACTCTGTCTATGTCAGCTTGTTCGTCTGTGCTTTAAGCTTTCAACTGACGATGCAAACATTCGATCATGCCGTCGTATATGTGATTGTAGGATGCCGCATGGATGTGTTGAACTCATAGGAGGTGGGAGATAGTTTGCAAATGAAGTCGATTCCAATTGACGTCGTTTGCCAGTAGTGATCGTCTGTGGGACTGCAAAACGACTAATCCATATTTCCATGAGTATGCGATCTACGGATGTCAAGTTGTTGTAATTTTTTGGTGACGCTTCGGGCCACTGCGTAAGCGATTGACGCAGGTCGGAGGTATCGGTGTCCTTGTGATGGAGGAAGTGGTCCCACTATATCGACGCAAATGTGGGCGAAGCGTATGTCCGGCGTGCTAGTTCCCAAGGGCATCTTAGTGTACCGATGAACTTTTGAGCGTTGGCAGTGGATACAAGTTTTGGCCAACGACATCACGTCAGCGTTGATACGAGACGATATAAACCGGGATATTATCAGTCGCTGGGTTGCTTATATCCAGGGATGGGACAAGGAGTGCAGCATGTCGCGAACCACGGATGCTGTTGACTGCGGGAGGGCCGCGACGACGTAGTCACATTTGGTCAATGATGATGTGATTCTGCTCTTCCGGAAAATTGATTCCGCGTTAAGAAACCACAGCTAGAAATCTGATGACCAGAACTCCGGGGACTTGATGTTCAAAGTGTCGCCCACCATATCTTTGGGGTTCCGGAAGAGCAGTTATCGTCTCCGAGGCTCATGATGTACGCACAAAGCTGGACTCAACCAAATAACCAGGGGTCCACGGCAGCGTAGGTGGGCGTGGTCAGAGGTAGCTCGGTCCGGTTCACGTGTATGTTTAGTGAAGGCTCGCTATATCTCGCTATATATATTTATTCCCAATATTTACACGATCATTTTGTCTAGATCGTCGAGGGGCATGTGCTCGAATCTCAGAGTTCGTGCAGCTCATGGCCCAGGCACCTCGTGTCTCTTGCTCGTGCCTTTCCCGTGAGCTTGGCGCCGTTCAAGCGCTGTGAATAGCTGCCGCTACACTGGCTTCGGGTGAAGTATTGCCCTTTAGAAAAACTTCGGGCAACTTGGAGTGCCAGTCCACGCTCACCAAAAAGTGACGACCTTGGAAAGGACCCGTAAACCCTAAGTGTAGCCTTTTCCACGGTCGAGTCGGCCAAGACGAGGGATGCAGCAGTGCGGACCTGGAAGACCCTGTTGTAACCGGCAGGCATCGCACATCCGGAAGAGACGCTCAATCGATATCCGTTTCGACCTCAGGCCACCAGGCGTAGTTGCATGCAAGCTCTGTCATTCGGACTATCCCTGGGTGCCCCTCATGCAACTTGGGATCACCACTCGCATTCCCTACAACAAACAATGCTGGTGCCATGTCAGTCCATTTCATCTTGCAAAGTAACGTTTTAGCCCATTTTCTATCTTCGTGGGCCAGGCGCCCGCCAGGTAACGGGCCATTTGAAAAAGCTCTTTGTCTTTTGCTGTCTCTAGAGCTATATTCTGGCTGCTCACTGGGAATGACGGCAGGTAAATGCTTAAAGATACCGAAAAGTCATCTTGGAAGCCTGAACAAGCAGTTCATCTCCACGTTGAGTTGACCTGGCCGGCATATCAGGCGGTGCTGGTAAGCGGAGAGACCGAAAGCCCACCATCGGACCTAGTATCGTTTGTGGTCTCTGGCCAACAGAAAAGACCGCCTAAAAACATACGCGTACTATTCCTTCACCCCAAACACAATGGCCAGCGCCACTTTTTCTAGGAGACTATAGTTCTTTTCACTCAGGGTTACTGTTCTTCAAGGTGAACGTTCTACAGCCCACTGCCTTGTAAGAAATAGACATTAAGCGAAAAATAGGGGCTCTAACCAAAAGTTTAACCAAAAGTAACCTGACGCTTTGGGACCAGTTCGGTTCCTTATTCACGGGTGAGTGACAGAAAAAAACACGCGTCGCTTAAATGCACAAAGGAATGTAGGGGGCTTTGCTGACGTCACGCAGTCCTGAGACGTAGCTACTGGGCAAAGAGCCCAAAGAACAATTCACGTTCTGTTTTCTGCGTTGATTAAGCTGCTCTCGCCAATTTCTTTCCAAGAACAGCACGGTGCTGCTCTTGAAGTCGACTGTGTGGCCGACTGCTTCCGAGTCTTCCGCGAGAGCGCAAGCGCAATGCGTCTTGACGCAAACGCGATGGGTCTTGTTACAATGTTGGCGTAGATACTGGAAAGGACAGCGCCGAGTGGGTATGCCGATGCGTCACCTGCAACTCGGTGTTCTGTCTTGGGTCATAGTGAGCCAGGACAGGCGTTTCAACCAGAAGTTTCTTTTCTCCAGGACCAGGCGACATCCTTTCTCAGTAGCTCGTTCAAAGGCGCAAGCCTGCTGGACAGGTCGGGAAGGAACTTTCCGTAGAATGTCACCATTCCCAGGAACGACCGTGCCTGTTTGCAGTCCTGCGCTTTAAACGAACTGAGGATCGCTTGCACGTTTTCTTGTGATACAGCTATTCCTTGGCTACTTACTTGATGCCCGAGGGACTTGAGACTCGACTTCAAAAACTCGAACTTTTCTTCTTTGTCTCGGATGCCGTTGTCACTCAACCTATTCATCACCTCCTCTAAATTCTTGAGGTCGTCCACGGCCGTTTTCCCCGTTATCAGGAAATCCACGAGATAGCAAGTAACATCTTCGAGGCCCAAGATTATGTTGTCAATTACCTCCAGAAAGTGCGCCGACACTGACGCGATGCCGAACGCCAACGGTTTCACCCGAAACAGGCCTCCGTGCGTGTTGATCGTCAAATACGGCTGCGATTCAGGATGCAATAGAACCTGCTGATTTGGCCGATTTAAGCCTCTCTTAGAGAAGATCGTTGCTACCTTCACAGTTGCCTAAATGTCTTCAAGCTTTAGCTGTGGGTACCGCTCCACGTCCAGGCTGCAGGAATTGACCGTTGTTTTATAGTCCGCGCACAGGCGCACAGACCCGTTATTATTCAAAACTAGAACTGGCGTGGCGTAGGGTCAGTGTGCTACCACTTCAATGTGGCCTGCAGCTCCCAATCTTCTTAGCTCTTCCCTCACGGCTGGCTTCACCGCGTATGGCATGCTTCGTACTTTTAAAAATCTTGGAGTCAGAAATTTTCTCAAGCTTAGCCGATCTCTTATTCCCTGTATGCGCCCAAGCTCTTCTTTGAACACGTCCCTGTAGCTTGCTAAGAGGACTTTCAGCGACGCTTTTACATGAACACTGACCGGGTTAAATGTGGCAAAAATGAACTTCAGTTCTTAAATCCAGTCTCTGCCGATCAGCGGTGGTCTGTCTTCACCCAAAACGTGAAGTGGCAGTTTCCCCCTGAAATC